ATTCCACATTATTACAAATACAGTAACTTCATTTCTGAACATTTATGGTTTGATTTCTTTGTATGTATGGATCACTTGGGTTGTTACCGACATCTGGTGAAAATTTCATGTCATTAGCACCTCTAGTAATATATTTACTGAGAAAAATGTTGACGTGTTCAATACTTATTTTACCCGCTGTATATACCATAGATTTAGAATATCACTAGAGTGAGTCCTGTCTATCCTGTCCACTGTTAGCATCTGTGACAACACGGAGGAGCAAAGATGGCGACCATTCAGGGCATCCGCTCACAGTCATCAAGCTCAACTGGATCTGAATCACAGATTATCTGTAATACTTTTTATAAAAATTTATATAATTGTTAATTTAATTCATCAATCGTGTAAAATGGCAAGATATTTACCAGAAAAATATATAATTTATATGTAGCAATGATCTAAACCAAATCTGAAATCAGTCAGTAACTTAGACTTTTTAGCTGGTTGAAAAGTTATGACTTCTACTAGTAATAAAGTTCATAAGTGTGAGTGTAACCATTTGTTTGTTAGACTGCTCTATGCACACATTTCCTAAAACAAATGATAAGGTTTGCACATGAGGTGATCGGTGCTTTGCAGTTCGCCATCTTGTCTGCAATGTACTCCGATTGAAAATGGCTCTCTAGGAAGAATTCGTAAGTAGTACTTTGTAAGTGTCCAAATTCAGGGGCTGCGTCCTGCGAAATAACTTTTTTGGCTGCTTATGTCACAGCGCTGCGCAGGAGGCTGTCCAAATTCAAAGACTCCTCTGATGTGGTCGACAAATGTGTCCTCCTTTTGCCCTGAAGGATACTTTCAAATTCAAATTCAAATTAAAAAAAATATTCATTTCATTTTTAAAGAAAAACAAAGAAAAATACATTACAAATAATACACAAAACGAAATGAAAGGCAGCAGAAAAAGAAAAAAAAATCTTATAAAGTCTGCTCCTTTTGTTTCCAACTTCTTGGCCCATCATATCCCATAATGCATCGCGGGCGAAACCGGATATTTTTTTTTCCTGCTCGTAAAGGTGGATGAAGCAAGAGAAAGGAATACAGTTTTAAATAAAAACCTGGTTGTATAAAAATTTAAAGTTTCTTGTGGTTGTGTTGTTATTGCTTTTGTCATTTGTACATACATGACTTTTTTACTATTATTCGTGTCAGAAATCAAATCAGCTGGTATAGCAAAAAAAAAAACATGCAGGTCCCTTAGTTCTTCTCTTATTGCCTTCAAGCTAATTTTGTTGTTTTATGATATTTATAATACTAACATATTGATATTTTTGCTAGTTTAACACCGCTATGGTTGCAGTGCCACAGGACATACACTAAGGTAAGGGCAGGAATAAAGCAGAAGACTAGATCGTCCAAATTCACAGCCACTTTTTTCCGGTCTTTGTGGTGGACCAAGGACCTGGCTCACCTAGACTGGGTAGGCCGGGTCCTTCGAAGGACCCAGCCTCTGAATTTGGACACAGAAAAAGTGGATGGAATAAGGAAGAATGCTTCAATTACCAGCTAGATTACTGACCCTTGGACACATTTGAATGTCCAAACAGGACAAAGAGCTCAAACATGAAACCGAACATTTAAGTTTCTGGAATAACCTTTCCAAAATCCCAACATCATTCTGATTGAAAATTTATGGACAATGCTTAAAAGCCATTTCTGTGCCAGAAAAATGACCAATTTAAAAGAACCAAGTATTTAACAACTATACTAGAAGCTTGCTAATAGTAACAGAAAACGTGGTCGAGGTGCAGCCTGCCGAGGGACATTTAACCAAATATTTGTTGCATGTTATTCTGACCTTGTGTGAATTTAGAAAAAGCCACGGTAAATTCAAACCCGTGTGCAAAAATCTCGTTTCTAAAAAAGTCATTGAAGTTGTAAAATCGTTCCACCCTGAGAAATAATGTTTGTGAGATCATTAAATGAACCAGATTAATGTGACATTCATGCCTGGGATGAGAGAATATAAACATCTAACTGCAACTGTATCGAATCTGCATGTTCAAGATGATGTCAGCATTTAGTAATTAACCTCAAATACGGTTTACATTTTATGAATATTATGTAGTAAATGTTCAAGATTACAGGAATGACTTTGCAATTAGTTTGAAGTGGTCAATTGGCTGCTGCTCATTTTTTTTTATTAGTGGCATTAGAAATGTGCTGATGTTATAAAAGCTTTGCTAATGTTTGTGTTGGATCAGAGCAATAATTGAGTTCAGTCATATTATTTATATTTTTTGCTTTCTTAACATTCTTTGCTTCAGATCTTTGGTTTCTTAAGAAAATTGTGACAACTTTTTAAACAAAAAACGAAGAAAATTATTTGGAAACATGAATATACAAGTTCAATGCATTAGTGTTTTCATCCAAATTGACTGTTCACAAGGCAATACAAAACAATCATTTGTACATACATGCAGTTTTGTGTATGCTGCAAATCTACTTTGTGGCCACAGTAATAAATGACTATAAAAAGCTGAAACAATATTGCCACTTTGAAAAGCACAAGTCTAGTCCTGGTTTAGTGATCAAGTTAGTTACAAACAAATTATAACTAAAACTACTTTCATAGTAACTTATCAACTTAAATAAGTAGACAGCTGTTTCTTAAATGTTGTCATCTTTGTCATTTCTTGCATATCGAACCGTTATGTTTGTAACACCTAAACTGTCCATTATTTCTGATTGTGCCACCAGTGTCTCCATGCCGTCTCCTTCACTAACAAAAATTGTGCCATTTCCATCCACGAGTTCTTTCATATTTTTTCTTCTTTTTTTATGCATCAGCACACACACAAAGTTCTGACCAATCACACAATACTTGGCAGATAAAAGTTCTGACAGCAGCTTGACCACAGAACGAGTTCTCGGGGGCAGTGTGAGAACAAAAAGACATGATTTTTGTCACACAGCCATGTCAGCGAATAAATCAGCCTTTACAGTTTTCCTTCAAATCCCCACTGAGCGTAACATACTCGCATCCAAGCTTTTCCATTTCCTCTAAGCTCCGAGTTTTCTCCTTATTAGCTAAAAGTAAAAGGTACTTTTTAAATTGTGAAACCTTCTAGAAAAACAGTGTAGACACTAAAAAAAGGACATTTTTGATAACCAAACAATCTTACTAACTCCTGTAAAGAAACAGACCATTGCATAATTACAAATGTGCAAAATGGCTGAGCTCACACTTGACAGTGGATTTGAAGAAATTTATGAAAGCTCAAAATACAGATTTATAGCTTAAAGATATTTGTGAAAAATCTAAATTATGGTCAAATACATCAGGTCTGTATTACGACATAAATGACCTTGAAGAAATTTATTGGGGTTTATTACTGATTTATAAAGACACTACACAATGTATAGTCTTTTATTAGGTGAACAGTAATATATTTCTATAATGTGGTTATCTCTGACTTAATTGATGGTTTTATGTGCAGACTGGGTTGTGTGGGGCTCTTGATCAGGGTCTCAGACTCAGGAGGCTTTTAGTCAGATACATGTCTGATTTAAAAACAACACATAAGAAACATGATCAAACAGTGTGAGGGATGATGTCTGACATCTTGACTCCATATAGGAGTAGCCTGCCCCTTTAACATATGTCATGAGGTGGAGTCAGGATGTGAAGAAAGCTGGTACTTGATGGGTGTTTCCTGGTTTTTACTCACTGCTTAGCTGATGCCTGTCGGAGACAGATTAAAACAAAAGCTAATCAGTCCACACAGCTGTGTCTGAATGGTTTTGCATGGCTCACTCCAACATTCACATGTCATTAACTGGTATTAGGTCTGAACAGGTAAAGGGTAATGAACATTGCTTATATTTTAACAGCTGGTGACCCCGACGATGTCCCTTCACTATAGAGATGATCTGGGTGCCAGCCTGGGAGAAGAGCGTCTGGCTGGGAACTCAGTCGGTGACTCGAGGTCTGGGGTCTGTGTGAACACAGGTAAGCAGAACTCATTTTTTGCTTATCTGTTATGTTTTGGAGGGACTGTGGTTCGAAGCAGTTTTTAGTTGGAGCTTAGATGCGGAGAACGCGTCGAAGTTTACAAAATGACCACGCGGTAGCTACGTAGTCATAACAATGGCGGTGTTGACAAATGAGCAACGTTTTCAGACCCCGGTAGTGATATTTTTCTTACCCGAAAAACAACTAGAAAGCTCTGATAACTAGAGATGGTGGCTGTGGAGAATTTTAGAAGCAGTCTAGGCTTTTTTCCCCTTTTTTCCTTCGGGAGCTGTGTGCTGTGGTACGCACGCACACTTCACCTTCTGTGTGTGTTTAGTGACATCTGCGTATTAAATTTAAGGCTCTCACAAAAGTAATATAGGTATATTTTAACAACCTGATGGATTTATTCAATTCTAGTTGTATTGAAAGACGAGCGAGCTGTGCCACGTTACACATTTATAACTACAAAACTGTCTATTTCTTTCATATAACTTGTTTTCACAGAGAATTTTTTGAGGCCTATGTCCTGTTAAAGTGCCTGTGATGTCAAATTTTTGTAATACATATGAATGCATTTTTAGAAAGTGGACGTTGATAAAATATTGCAAAAGAAATTTTTTGTTGCTGAGATGAAAAGTTGTTGAGATATTTGCCTGTGAAGTAACAGGAAGTGATGTCAAAGGGGAATGTCTGCATGTGAACAGAGCTTTGCTACAACAGTTAACAACCCAGACTGTAGAGACGAATCAGATGTTTCTTAAGGTTATTTTGAGTCTCTTTCAGAGAGGTGAAGAAGAGCCAGAGTTCAAATAATATTGTTTCAATAAACAAAGACCAGAGAGCTTTTATTGTCAAAGAGTTTCAATTTGATGTCACTTCCTGTTTCACTTTGGCTGAGCCAAGTTCAAAAGAAAATATGCCAGTTATGGGACAAAATGGGTTAAATCGTGTGAATTATTCCAACTTTCTTATGTTTTCTTTGTCTTTTTGTATTTGAAGAATATGCATGTCACAGGCACTTTAAGAGTGCTGTCAGGTGAGAGACAGTGTTTACCATTAAGAGCCGCTGGCAGCGATCTTTTGATGGTGATTGTGTTTTTATACTGGTTTTATTTGAAAGCATTGACTCTGACCTTTGATCCATGCTGATAGCCCGTCTGAAGGCGTCCCTCTGAGCGATCAAAGTAGACTTTGGCGAGGCTTTGGGACTCGTCTCCGAGTCGGCGCTGTCGTCGTCGCCCATGGCTTTGATGTAGCTGCCGCTCCGCATTCGACGGCAGGGAATCTCCCCTCCACTGTCCGCCGCGCCGCCTCCACCGCCGTATCCCCCTCCCCAATCCTCTGAGGGGACCTGAGGCACATTCGCATTCAACCGTCACTCTTATCGTTAAAGGTGACCGCAAACGGGATTAGTTTGGACAAAAAGACAACGTATAATGAGCGGGAACACTCCCTTTTAGATTTTGATTCTCTACAAATGTGTTAAACAGACAAAATGTGTCAAAAGTAAGTACGCATTCCTCGGCTTTGGCAGTTGTTAAAGAAAAGCCCACGATCCACAACATGAAGTCATTAGTGTTGAGATATTGAAGATGTTCCTCCAATATCTGTTATTATAGTCAAAACAAAATGTAATTTATTCAGTTGGAAATATGTTGGATCCAAAACAGAAGGACAGCGATGATTCAGACAAACACGCAGCATCGGGTTGTAGAGCAAACACACACACACAGACATCCACACACACACCAGTTCACTCAGCCATGCTCATGCAAGCCACAAGAGCAAACAGAGAGGCATGGGTTCACTTTAATGTAGAGGCATGAGAGATGAGAAGAAGGAGAAAGAAAAAGGGACAAAGTGACTTACAGAGAGAGAGAAACTCTGACAGCTGGAGAAACACTGACACAAAGAAACACAAGAAGCATAAGCAAGAAGCCGACAGACGTGGCGCAAATAAACTGAGAGGTGGCTAAAAAAAACAAAACAAAAACAGCAGCGAGGGCGACGACCTGAGCGAGAACCAGGGAGCTCACAGAGTGACCCTACTGGAACAACACCAACAACAACAACAACAACAACAACAACAAAAAACAAAGAAAAAACAGAACAGAACAGGAGAAAAACAGGTCAATGGGCTGAGAGCAGGAAGTCGAACAAAAAGGCAAATGATTTTCAAATAGAAAAACGAAATTAGAAAATATCACACACAAGTTTGTATTTCTATCCTTATTAGGACCGTTCATTGACTTCCATTCATTTCTATAGCCTTACCTGACCCTTGAACCTAAACTTAAAAGGAGTCTTTGGTCCATAAGAACGACTGGTCTTGACAAGGTGTGTGTGTACACCAGAAACAGTCCTAAAAAGATAGAAAATACCAGTATACACACTCACTTTCACGCACACTGACACACAGTAGTTTGTTTTTAATGTGTCAGGATTTGTTTAGTCCAATTTCTTGTCCTTATTGTGCATTCTTGTATTTTACTGCTTTTTAAACATCAATGCCAAGGGACCACAGATAAAAAATAGCCTTTTCAATAATTCTGGATTTTTCAACTTGTGAACCGTCATGTGTTTTCTTGCTGCTCCCTTTTAAATAAATAAATCAAATCAAATAAAAAAGATGAACAACTAAAAGAATAATAAATAGAATAACAGTTGCTGGTTCACACAATCATTAAAGTCTCTTTAAATCACTGTTTATACTGCCATTCCATCTATATTTAAAAAACTAAAACACTTTTAATTTGAGGTAACTGAATATTCAGTAATAAAACAAATTGAGACTAGAAAAACAGCATCTTTTTGCAATTAAGAGCCAAATGATATCGCTGAATTTTACTGAGGAAGATGCAACAGTTAAAGCTAAAAGAAGCAGAATGGGTGATGAGATGATAAGGTTTTTTAGTAAAAATATTTTTTTAGTCATAAGCTGAAAAAAGTTAGCCAAAATCTAAAAGGTTAGCTAAAAGCTAAATCTAGCTAAAGGCTAGTGGAGAATCGCTTATTTTTGAAAGCAAAATGTGACAAGATGCAAGATGCTAAAAACTTAACATAGCAAAAGCTAAATGT